TGACACTCATTTCTGTATCAGACTACACTCTCTCTCTCATCTCAACAGCAAGTTAAAAGCACTGACAAGACTTGATGGATCATATTAGTTTATCTGTAGTAGGCCTCCAGTTTATTGGAATAACAGCTTTAGTGCACAGGCTTGAATGTACCAGATCTGTTCTGTTAGATGCCTTTTAGTAAATGAAAGAATAACCTTCTTAAATTAAAAAATTAAACAAATTGTTGTCTGTTGTGGGGGATTTTGGAAAACTATAGTGTCTTTTATCACTTATGAGCAAATTTTTTTAAGTTGTAAGATGGGCCTTTTGCTTACAGTACCTCTGTTAACTCTGATCCTATTTCTTTCATCCCAGAGGGGAAACTTGACAGTGTTGTTATGTGGTGAAGGAGGTCTTGTGCTCTCCTTGGGGAAGTTCCTCCTCCATGGGTTCAAAACCAACCGTCTTTTCCAGAGGAATGTGTTTGTCTGGGACTTTGTGGGTAAGTACTGAGAGTGTGAGATCATTAAGAGCATCCAACATAAACATTAGAAGTGATGACATCTCTTTCCTATCCCCATCTACTGGCCATGAATATAAATTTGACAGAAGAAATTACATGCAACCAAGCATGATTAATATGTTTTGTTAAACAGCCATTCTTATACTGTCAGCAGTGGTGGGCCGTCAGGGCCAGCAAGGCCTTCTTTGCTGGCCTAAACACTATTAGAAGCACTGACCTACATTTACAACCGAAATTCTAATATTTGTTCCATGAAATTGTATTAATTTATTCCCAACAGTCTGTTCTCTTCATTTCGTAGTATTTCTCTCTTAGATTTTTTGTCCAATCAGATTTCAGCCTCTATGTGTTGCCATGTCAATCTAATCTGCCCAGGGCCTTCAGAATCAGAAGTGCTGGCCCATGTAACTTAAACTATATTAGCAATGGGACTGTTTCTTTAACCAATCAGATTTCAAATTCGCCTCACAGGGCCAGCTAGCTGGCCCACAATGATGTCAGCATTTTTCCGTCCTCTGATTGGTTGGTCAGAGCAAAACTAGAAAAGGGCTTACGATGGAACTGAAACGCAGAGATCACAGTTGCAGTTGTAGTGTAGAGGTTTTGGAGTTGTCTTAACTGGGTTTCTTGCTTTAGTAAAAACGGTATTCACCCTCAATACGCGAAATACCTCTCTCTCTGTAATGCCACACCTTATTATATTGCGTTTTTGTATAGCATTGATGGTTTCTATAATTGCGACGTACAGTGGTGGTATTAAGAGGTGAATTAAGTTGGGTAAGTCTCCACTGAAGGCCCAAGTACCAAATGCACGGCCTGCTACTGACAGTCAGTATATTAATATGTTATTAACACTTTCCCATAGAGAAGGCAGTGGCATCCATGGAGACTGATGATCAGATGGGTGACCTACATGGATCAACACTGACAAAGGGTCCACCTTGTGACTCTCTGTGCCACTATGTCAATGCCATCAATGTTTCGCCACGAAACATTGGAAAAGAAGGAAAGTTCCAGCTGTTTGTTTGCCTGGGAATCAGGTGAGTGGTCATAATATTAAAAACTAGTTTAAAAGCTCCCTAACCACCAGTTCTGATCTACATGACATTTAAAGTAGAAACAAGGACATAGTTTTAAAATATTCTTCCGATTATTATCTACAGTAGTAGAGATGTGCACATTCAAATGGGTTTTTCCTTTTATATGTTCTGTCAACTGCTTTAACAACAGTTAGCAGTATAGGAATGTATTTGAGATGTGTCCAGTGCTTTTAACTTGGTAATTTAAGTTCTTGTTCCTGTGCTTTGAAATGGCATTGAATGAACTGAACATTCAGGTTAATGAATGAAGTTGAAACCTGTTTCAAAAGAAAGTACATGGCACTAGTTTTGTCTTGCAGCTAACTCTACTTCAGTACCACATTTCATTGGGCGTTTGTGGAACCATTGTTGACTCTTGACCTGTACTATTTGGCAGAGACCGTCTTCTCCCTCAGTGGCTCCCCCTGCTGGCAGAGTGTCCTCTGACAGCTCGGATGTACGAGGAAGGTGCTCTGCTGCGGGACCGTGCAGCTGTACACTCCCTGTCGCGCATCCTACACACACTCGATGAGTTCACCATCACTCTGGAGACAGCACTGGTGAAAGGAGTTGACCTGTGACCCTGACAGAGAAGCACAGAGTTTGGCCCCTGCCCTGTAAACAGCTGCAGCAATGATGGTTGAAAATATTCATCTTTCCATGTGCAGGAAAAGGAAATGCATTCAGACACTTAATGTGACTTTGTCATAAAAAAGGACAGTGGACTAGATGATGAAGTAACTGGCAAATGATGCTCCAAACATATTGCCTTGTTCACTGATGTAAATGTCCTACATACTGTATTTGCTTCAGGAAATAGCTTGTTTACACTGTGAAATTCTGTTCCTCGAGGAGAAATAGAGTCATTTATATTCATACATCTACTGTACATATTTTCGCAGCTCACACCATTTACTGTACCTAACCCTAGAACAAATATTACTCTCCTACTGCTGTATTGCTTGCACTTGAATTTTAGACTAAACACATGCATGGCCAAAATTTGTTTTATGTCTTAGTATGCTGTGATCTGAAATATCAAAACTCAGGCCTTATTGTGTTAACGTTTTTCTTGTCATCATTCATTGGATATCTTAGTAAATATACTCACAAAAGATAATGTTCCTACTCTATAATATGTGATATTATTATGCTCTTGTTGATACGGTGTACTTTATGGCCTCATTGTTTATTTCAGGGTCACATACTGCTTAGAGTTGAGCTCAAGAAAACTTGAGTCAGTGAAACTCTGAAACCAAACTAGTGTCCAAGTTGTGTCAGTTAAATTAGGTTTTTGTCAGAAAGCCTTTTCCCTGTCTCATTGTAAATATTTTGCTTCATTACATCTTTGATAGAATTGTGCCCAGTTGTTATTATGGTGTAATGGATTTGTGGTATATTTTGTGTATAAAGGCATCTTGCTTGTGTCTCTGTAAAATGGTAGATTCCACTATGGACACACTTTGTTTATTATGTGGATTATGCTGTTTGTTTTTAAACTGTTCAGTTGTCTTTGTAAAAATGAGACAATGAATAGAGCACAGGTTCTTGAAAACACTAGGTATTATGTTGTTGTCACATTTAAGAGTTGAAGAAGTATGAAAATACTGTCTCCTGCACTGTCCTGCAAGCACCATGTAATCCACAATGACCAAGCCTTTATTATCATTTAAATACAGATTAGATTAAGCAATAATGAATTGTTATTTATTAAATGTGTTAAAGATTAAAGATAATATTGGCATAACTGACATGCTTTGGTTTTACCTCAGTTTGTGGTATCTTAAAGTAAATAAGATTTTTGTATAGTAAAAAGTGTACTGCATACTCATTACATAGGACTAGTTGCATCTAATGTTTCCAGAGGATTTGGCTTTTAAAGTTGCATAAATGCAAACCTGACCAGTGATTTCTGTACTGTGTTTGGCTACGTCTTCTGACTGAAGCTCCATAGTTCAATTTCAGGATGGTGTGGGCAGTGTTTTTCATGTCTCGGCCATATCACCAAACGGCCTCATACAAGGGAAGACCCAAACAAATATGTGCAGAGTAATGCATTCAGTTCAACAGTTTTGAAGTAAAATCTACTTTGTTATGCTTGTGATTCAGAATTTTTACTGCCCTCCGAGCTTTTTTGAAGACAGAAGTGACCTGAAACACTCTGGTTTTTGTTTACAAGGGGAAGTGATTATTGAAAGTATTTATAGCAGAACTATTGGGTTGGATTGAATTTTAAGGAAGAGGATTATGGCCACTGTAAAAAATTTTAGATCTGACTTTTTTTTTCCAGAATTCTGACTTTTTTAAAAGTCATCTTTAAAGTCTGAAAATTCTGAGGAAAAAAGTCAAAACTTAAATAAATGTTTTATAGTGGCCCTAATCTTCTTATGTAGGATTTAGATCCTTTACTTAAGTAAAAGTACTAATACTACACTGTAAACCCTTTTACAAGTATAAGTCCTGCATTAAAAATATTCCTTTAGTAAAAAGCATGTAAGGATTAGGAAACTAAAACATGCAAACATATGGCCCCTGTGACTATTGGATTATTATTACTTATATATTAATATAAAAACTAGATTTTACATTTGATTTAAAGTTAGTTGAGCTGGAGATCATTTTAAACTATATTTCCTATAGGACTGCTACTAATGATTTATATTATAAGCATATAAGGTATTAGTTCCACCTTTACCAACTACAACATTACAGCAGTGAACATAATAATGTATCAATAATTATGATCCAGTAATATACACTAATGTTTAATGTGACATTCGGCTAATTTCTCTTTTGCTACTTTAAGTATAACCATTTTTGATGCTAATACTTTAGTATGTTTAAGTTTTAAATTATGGACTTTTACTTGTAACATAGTATTTTTAGACTGTGGTCTGCTTTTACTTAAGTAGAAGATCTAAGTATTTTGTCCACCACTGTATTTTCATGTTTTGTGTGCAGAATTGAAATAAAAAAGTCTACAACTTTTCCCTCTGAATTGTATTTTATAACTATAAAGTGGCATAGGAAGAAAATACTTCCTACAGTGTTTGAATAAACGTATGCCTATAGTTCCAGTCTTGTCAAACTGATGGGGTGTTATAGGCTACAACAAAGACAAAGACAGAGCTGACCACTGGATCGGAATCATGTTTCAGCCACCTTTTATTTACTACTAATCTGGTCTGTGGTCACGCAAATGAAATAAACAAGGCTTAACTGGCTTAACTCCGTGCTAGACGGTGAAGCCTCCTAAACACCGTAGGCCACCAGACGGGCCATCTGGCGTTCTGTAGTAAACGACAGGCCCCGCCCCTCTGCTTACATTCTCCAATGTGCCATAGCAACCGGGGCCGAGCCCCCTGTTCCCGCGCAATGTTCCCGTCCTTATAAGGCCAGTAGAATGCAGACGCACAGACACGTCACACGTCGTTTATGTAAATGGTTTGATTGAAGAAAAAGAAAAAAAGCCTTCTGCTCTGCTCTGAAATGGAGGTGTGGATACGACGCATGCGCGTTATGTTCACAACTATCCAGTCCTGTCCACCAGCGCAGACATCAACAAGAGAGCGGGTTACTGATGCGGGTTGATTTTCATAATAGTCCCATCGTATCGACGCGCTACAAGGACTATTACTTTGTATCAGCTTAACGCCACTTGCAGCAAGGTAATTAATGCAGCCGGATTTTTTTTGTTTGCTTTGGTCTTTTCCGCTTTAAGGGATTTTAAAGCTAACAGTGCTTTCAGACATGCAATTCAAAACACGCTTCGAGTTGTCTCAGAACAATTGCTCTTTTAGGGCCTGCTGCAGGGCCAGCTGGTTGGTCAGCCTGATGTATAAGTCGCCTTATAAACAGTTAAAGTGACCGGGTAAAGTGGAAGGAATGCAAGATAGGCCCAAAGATGTGTTTAATAGTGTCAGAAGGGGGATTCATGTGCAAGAACTACGAGCAAAGGTCGATTGTTGTTGTCACTGGCCGCTTCAAAGCATTTAGCTTTGGGAGGAAAGCATTCCTTTTATTGCTGCAGAAATGTGGCTTAAATGTGTGCGACACTTATAAAAAGCATTAATTACGACATTGTGGCTGTAGTGCGCCTGCAGTCTAGGTTGCTACACATTTACGCTTGCTTAATAAGCCAAGTTGAACGTCTCACGCCCACCCGGCCCAGAGATGCGTCTCAGCACGCGGACGCTGCTGTCAACAAAACAGCTACCGCAAACACAAACTCTCTGGTAACGCTTTATGAAACTCAATCTGGGTAAAAAATGTAATTTTGTGGCGCAAAACAGTATAAACGCCGAGTTTCTGAAAGCCGTCTCTTTGAACTTCGTGCCTGTAGTTGAGGGTGGACTGTTGCAGTGACGCGGCTCTGGAATAACAAAGAGTAAAGATCAAATTACGCGATCATCTGAGAACAGCTTTTTATTAAAATAAAAAAGAAGTGCTGCTGTCTTTGCAATGTATTTACATCGGTTTATCTCATTACATAAAGTTAATGATGGGAAGGGAAGTCGGGCATCGTCGAGCAGAGGACGGTCATCATAAAATGGGTGCGCATGAAGCAGGTCGTGTGGCATGCCATGCTTCCTCACTGGAGTGGGCGGTGAAATTGGCGACTTGCACTTTTCGCTCGATAAAAACAGGCGTATTTCTCGGTGTCTTCTTTTATTTTAAAGGGCGCGGGTGTTGTTCTCGCAAGTCTTGACTTCTTTCAGGAGGATTTTTGCAGTTTCCTTCTAATATTACAGTTTTACGGAAAATCGCATCACACCCCCTTCCCCACACTGCCTCCGCCTTTGAAGTGTGTTGCCATGTTAAGTTGCGTCACGTACTGTATTTTGCTGCAGAGATCGTCTGCAGCGTACAGATGAGACACTCGAAAGGGAAAATGGTTCGATCCTGTTACAAACTCCACGAACCCCACTGATACAAGGTTGTTTTCATGTAGTACCAGCTATAAAATCACGGTATAGGCCGCCTTTATTTTATCTTTGCATTATTGTTGTATGTATGTCTATTATTTATATTGGCTAACGATCTCTGCATAATGATGCACAGATTTATATAGGCTAGTTACTGTATAACTTTTATGCACTTGTTGTGTTGAATTCTACTGTTACTTTTTCCACTCTCGCCCACTCTCTTGTCAACTAGACAACTTGTCATTTTCATATTAAAATGCCATTTGACTTAAATGTGTGTTTAAATGGTTGATGAACAGTAACATTTTTATTTTGTGCAGATTATTTTTGATCTTGTGCAGAATAATTGAAGTGAATGGGGGTATAGGGTAAGGGGTTAAGACATGTCGTATTAGATACTGAGTAATAATAAACACTGTGGAATAACATACAGTAGATGATGGTGGCATTAGTTATGAGCATTCAGGAGAGGGTTTCTAGTTCTCATCTCCCCCCCACATTGCCCAACGTTAAGTGGTATCAGACATATGCAGCAGAGTGAGCTGTGTTTTGATTTCCCTGCTCTCTGCATGCTCACTGTGGGCACTGCACTGTCAGAAGACCCCCAGGATTGATGGCAAAAAATGCAGGGTGGGGGGCGCGGCTCGCAGTTTGCCGCAGTTCAGGTCCACATGTGCTGTAGAGATTAAATTTTGCCTAGCAACATAAATTATAATTCCTCAGCATAACCATGCACTTATTGCATCGCGAGTGATTTTCCTCTGACACATTCATATTCCTGCAGTTCTCTGGCCGTAGCTTGGGTTCGTATCTTGGTTTTAACCATAACAATTAATGAATCCTCTGCAGCCTGCACGCTCGGACTAAGTGCGTGCTTCTATTGTGTTTTGAGTTTCCAAGATGAAGCTTGCATCCTGTGGGCGCAGCATGGTGATCTGTCTGACACGCTGTCTGACTGTTGACCTACTTCCTCCTATGTGGGTCACAGCAGAGTCTCTGCATGTTTTGGTGCTGATAGCGGCAAAATACGCGATTCTTTCAAAACGACTTTGCATTAAACGAATCTGAAATGAAAAGATCAGCCCTGATGCGAACCACAAAATGCACGGCTGCAGGGACGTACACTGATAGGAGTCTGAGATGTTAATATTAAACTCTTTATTTGCACGTAGATGTTTGGCTTTCATAAGCCGAAAATGTACAGGAGTTTGGACGGCTGCTGCATCTGCCGCGCAAAGTCGTCAAGCTCTCGTTTCACGGACAGTAAGCGATACGAGAAGGAATTCAGGAGCTGTTTCGGGTAGGAGACGCACCTGAACACGCAGGGTTTCAAGGGAGATCGGCGTTTATGTGGAGACTGGCTGTAACTGATTCTGAACATTTCCCCTTGTTATTTCCTCGTAATCAATGCAGATTGAGTGAAACACGATCGGGAGAAATCTGTAATGCCTGTGTGCTCCTGGTGAAACGATGGAAAAAGCTACCAGTGGGAACCAAGAAGAACTGGAACCACGTGAGTCTGGTTCACTTTACTGCTATTATGTTGAGCTATTAGGCTCCTTGGTCATGATACAATACTTGATTTATGCAAACTCATTCACCACAGACATTTGTCCCTCCTCCTCCCCTCTCCTCCATACAGGTGGTGGATGCCAGGGGAGGTCCCAGCCTAAAGATAACCTCCAGGCCCAAGAAGTCCATCTCCAAGAAAGCAAAGCCCAGCCAGATCAGCAGGCTGCAGAAAGAGCTTAAAAGAAACAGTGAGTTCTGTACTTTTGGCCATCAATAACACAGTTATGTGTTTAATGCCATCCACTCATTTGTTGAGTAGAGTTTGAGGTGTAGATTATTTAATTTTGTTTTTTTGTCATCATATGTGACACACACACATCCTTCACTTTTCATGCCTTGTTCTGCCAACCAGACTCAGATGCTCACAGCACCACCTCCAGTGCCTCTCCGGCTCAGTCTCCCAGCTACAGCAACCTGTCCGATGACGGCTCTGACACTGAACTCAGCCGAGGATCCAGCCGTTCCCCCGTTTTCTCCTTCCTGGACCTCACCTACTGGAAGAGGTATGTTAGACTGTGAAGCAGTCACACTTCCTTGATCTTCTGGCTTATTCTTAAGCACAGATGTAACGATATGAAAATTTTACATCACAATCAGCCTGTCTTTTAAATGCAGGACTTGTCAGTGGACTAGTAATATTGCCGGCTGCATGCCCACTCTAAACAAGGAATACCAAATTTACTAGTATTATTGTTGTAAGGTGCCCAAAATTTTATATAAATACAGAGGATTACAGTGTTTCTCTTGTTGGAACAGTCTTTCAACAAAGTCGATGACTGTCGGATTTGAAGTACGTTGGTTGACGGACTGCACTACGTAATGTATTATTGTGTGCAGCGGGCTAACAGGCACATGACGCATACAGCAGCAGAACAACAAAAAGTGTTTTTACAAGACTAGGTAACACTGAAAATAAAGGCACGGTGTGAGTTTATTAAAGCCCTACACTCCATTAGTCAACCCGTGCAGGTGTTTTCTCTTTTGTTGCCTGGTTAAAGTTCTTCTCGGTGCAGTGAGGGTGTGTACAGGCTGTGTCCTGTGACTGTTTCCCCTGTCAAAGTTACACTATCACTGTATTTAATGTCCTAAAGCATGTAAAACACAGATACAGGCCTTAATAGATTTACTGATGTTGCTTCATACACCTGAAGAGATGTGCCATGCTCTGTCTAGGCAAAAGGTGTGCTGTGGAATCATCTACAAAGGGCGCTTTGGGGAGGTGCTCATCGACCCCCATTTGTTCAAACCGTGCTGCCGCAACAAACAACAACAACAGCAGCAACAAGAGGAGGAGGAAGAAGATGAGGAAGAGGAGGAGGAAGAGGTGGAGGTAGAGGAAAGCCATGTGGGTGTGGATGTCAGCGGGCAAAAATCCCAGATGGAAGAGGAAGTGAAGGAGACGCCAGTGTGTGAGGAAAATGCAGAGCCCCCAGCCAGAAGTGTGGCGGTGGCCGAGGAAGGGTGGTAAAGCCCAACCCCCCGGTCCTTGCGCACATTTCTGAAGAAATTCTGGGGTGCTGTTTTTTCCTGAGCACTCGCAGAAAGAAATGTCCTCACATTGCCTTCAATCATCAAGGAGCTGAAAATCCTTCAATCTTCTCCATAATAACGTTGGAAGTTTGTTTATTATGTTGAAATGGTAATTTATGGACAGCTGTGTTTCCACCCTCTCTCTCTCTCTTTCTCTCTTTTTGTATTTAATGTTTTTGCCATCCTGATGATGGACTCGTGGTGTTTTTGATCTACTTTAGGTGAAATGCTGGAGCTCTAGTTTGCTGGTACATTTAAAAGATTTTATTCCAAAATGCAATAGATCCACTTACTTATAGAAAAAGGTGCTACTTGAAATCCATTACTCGACATTTCACAGCTGAACCCATTCTCAGTGTGGATATGGTCTAAGCATATACAGTATCCTTAGATGACTAATATAAAGGGATTGGTTTTGTTGCCCTTGTTCTGAGTACATCTCTCTTTTATGAAACGGTGGACATCTCGTCTTGCAGTGAATGCCATTTCACACTGACAGAGCACAGACCTGTATAGTAGCCCCTGTGTTTGTGTCTGTTCCCACTGACACCCACTTCTATCAAAGAGTTTGTGTTTGTAGACTGGGTTAGTGTCTCTGTGTGCAGATAGGTTCGTATGTGGGTCCCAACTGAATAAGGCCTATTCACAGCTTCAACAGCAAATACACCAGCCTTAATTATGTGTTAACAGACAGTGCTAGTGTTAATTCTGGATTGGTATTAAGGAACAAAAGAGACAGTAGCTATATTTATTGTGGCCTCAGCAACACAGTGCATTTTGCATGAATGGCAAGCCACTCATCCAAGAGACCTAATGATCTGATGCATGAGTCTACTAAAATTGCATGGCCTTATATAAGCTGTAAATCTTACTTTTATTTTTTGTTTGTTTTGATCAATTTCTCTGAAGTTTTAACTTATTTTTATATGTAAAAAAAGGAGAATAGAGGTGTTTTTGCGTAATACTGTAATACCACACAATGCTACAGCGAAATACACAAGTGGTCTATAGTCATTCAGCAATATTAATATCAGTAATCTCCCTCCTTCCTGGGTCAGTATATGGTGAAAGACTTTATACGAGCTGAAATTCTATGCCATTGCCTTTTGTATACCACAAATGTGTTGTGATATATAGCCTAATATTACTTTATTTATCAAATGAAAGCCAAAGCACATTGAAATTCACCCAATGTCAAATCAATGCAGGTTTTTTATGGACACGTGCTTGTCCGAGGTCATTTGTATGTTTGTGGTCTTCTTAAAATGAACACTAATATGAAATTTCATACATGAGATGTAGTTGGGAGCAGGGGGTGTGTTATGTACATAAGGGGTTGGGTGAGCCGCGTGGCTCCTATATGATTTTCGTTATTTATTTATTTCATATTTATTTGTATCACTGCTTACCCCCACTTAGAAGTGTAATACTATGAATTCTTTTCACCTCTAGCTTATGCGTAGTATGTTTTTGTACATCAGAAATCAAAGGTAATTCTCACTGAGGCTTCGATATTGCGTTGGATTACTGGTTGTCAATATTTGTGAAATGTTATGTATTTATTTAATCATCAGTTGAGTTGCTTGCAACCTGACTTAATCCTGTACATTCACTTTGGATCTGTATCATCTAGACTGAAACAAATGATAGAACCAAACTGTATTTCCCTCTGTTTAGCCTATAGTTTAAACATGAATAGTAGGCTACTTAACTCTAGACTTGCATGTACTGTTGCTATGCATTTACTTAGCTTACAAGTTAGATAAAGCGGTTTTGTATTTTTTATACATCATGTACTTTTTTTACTTGTCCCTTAATAAAAGTAATTTTGTGAGTTTTCTGGAAGTATTGACTTATTGAATTTATTGCTTTAAGGTGGGTAAACCTGAACTCAGCAGGCGTATCCAAATTCAGCTATCCATACATTTGTATTAAAAATGATTTACAGTACTTTATTGGAAACATTCTGTGAATTCAAAAAGTCTTGACTTATACAGTACAACAGCAGTCTGGGATAAACATTTTGAACACTTGACATTTGTGAAGTATATTTGAGTAATGTAGGAACGAGGCTACGGAGTATTTAACTCCAATACCACAGGTGCAAAACTGCTGCAATTGTATTTTCCCTCTCTTATTTGGGCTTTTAAAATTTGGTAGATATGTTTCAACTAACCATTAGAAACAGGAAAATAAGGTAATGCATTGCAATGTGAACTTTTCCTCCAGAAAGAAGACATTATCAAAGTGAATAGTACAGAAAATAATAATAATACTCACAACTGTCAGCTTTTGCAGTATTATACAGTAATACAAACACATCCAAAGCCCCTAATTTTTCATTTTGCAAACAAAGGGGAAGAATATTTGGTCATCTGCTTCCGTAAATGTGATGGTTTCTCTAGGCACCCTACTGAAGAACAGACCAGCACCAAACCATCCAGACAGCACCCCGAGCAGGGATATAATGCAAAAATAGAAAAAAAGTCGTACAATCTCTAAGTATGGCTTAGAAATGTCCCACACGTATGTTCTTATTATCATATATTTCTGCTTCTGAAAAATTTAATATCGAAATCAGATTTAATGATGTATATTTGTAATTTGCGCAGTTTTAAATAAAGAGAAGAAAAGGACCGGAAACGATTGTCCCATGACAGGAAGTTTAAAAAAACCCGGAAGTGCCTTGTTTTTATTTTACAGCCAGCTGTCGGATGATGTAGCTGTGAGGTGTAGATATAGGTTCGTTTTAAAAATAACAATTAATTAAATACCCAGGTAGACAGATATCCACCGTGGGACCTGAGCTAGGTAATATGAATGTTGTGGATGCGCTTGTTATTTTAGCGGGCAGGCTATCAATCTGCTGACGGGGAACTCTAGTGAACTCTAAAGTTAATCCTCGGTACAACATGCTGTAATCAAATTATCACAGAGAAAATGAACACTGCTCTTATAGAAGATGATAAGTGCGGTAACGTTACTTGATGTAGTTATCTAGATGCCGATGCAAATAATCTCATTAGATAATGGACTGCGCCCGCTATGTTCCATTAATGATGTTGATCTTTAAGAATATTACTCAGGTCACACTTTTCTAAATAAAGGTTCATATTCGCAGCATTTCTGTCTTGCTCTTCGTCATGGTGGAGCCTACGGCATCTGGCGTGTTCTGCAACAGGATGCTGAGCATGGTCAACTCAGAGGATGTTAACGCCATTATCCAGGCTCAGAGGCACATGTGAGTGTCCAGCTATCATTAGTCTGTTTATCTTGATATCGCTTTTCTGGTACTTCATACTAATAAATAAAGAATGTGCTGTTTGGTGTAAATCTCTTTGCTTCTTTATGACAGAGATACTGACATCTGCCTGATTGTAAACTGTACCTCAGTATTGTTGTTGTTGCTTTGCTGAATTATTGTGAAAACAGGCTTGACCGCTTTGAGAAAACCAATGAAATGTTGATCAACTTCAACGGCCTGTCTAATGTGCGACTGCAGCAGATGAACGAGCACTTCCTGCTCCACACCCGCACCCTTGTGGAGATGAAGAAAGATCTGGACGGCATCTTCAGACGGATCAGGTAAACACTTCTCCACATGTGCAAATACAGACACACACATATTATTGATCTCCTCTGTCTCTCTAGGACACTCAAAGGGAAGATTTCTAAGCAGTACCCAGAAGCTTTCAGCAGTGAGTCTGATTTTTTTCTATTTAAAACGTATTATTACAGTGAGCTTCCCCATATCAATTTATTTAAGAAGCACATGTAAAACATCTCTGCTGTTTGGCAGATATCAATGAATCACCAGTCCTGGAGGATGATGATGATGAGTTTGACCCAGTTCCCCCCAGTGTTGCAACAACAATCACAACAGCCACCTCAGGGCAGAGCACAGAGTCATGTGACACAAGTCCAGATGTGATCTCGCCCACTGTAAGCAGATGCTCTGAAGATCTCTCTCAAGAGCAACCTGACACGCCAACCTCCAATGTTCTAGAAACCACCGTACTTCGAGACGAGGGTCCTGACTCTGTTCCAGCAGAATAGAGTGAACAGTTCGGTTTCACTCACTGGAACCTGAGCTTCAACTTAAATATTTTAGCAGGATATGATGTTGTGTATTTAAGGTTGTGTCGACAATATATGCTGACTTTTCCAGTCATGAATTTACCTGTTAGGAAGAGCATCACAACTTTTAGAGGTGGTTGTGAATCATCTGTGAGGACTCTGGATCTTTGTTGGTTCTATGTTGGCATTCCTTTGTCCAATGCCTGCACAGCACTGAAATAATGCAGATAATACTTGAAGTGGTATGGTACTTCACTATAAATATATCCATAGTACTGACAGCGAACCTGTTACCAATTATGTAATGAAAAACATACTACATACATGCACATATATATGTATGTATATATAAGGTACCATTGCCAATATTATCACATTGCAGCATTATCATTCTCTAAGCCAATACTAATTTGTTCAGGTTTTCCCTTTAACTGGTTGCCTGCCTGTACATTTCTTAAAGCATTAATGAGTGTTTTCAGCAACATTTGATGCTTCATCAGTCTCTGCCACAGATTTCTCTTTGTTTGGCTCCTTCATTGAAGGGAGGCCAGGGATTAGGGTTACTTGTCAGTGTCCCTGGAGCTGTCAGGCATTCAGCAAACTGTTCAGGGACATGTTAATCTTGCTCTTTGTTATGTGTGTGAATGATCCAGAAACTCTGCCATGCACATTAATTTCTTTAAAGAGAAAAATCCAGCCTAAAATGGACTTATTTCTGTTGTATTTTTTTTTTTACATTTGTTTTAAGATATGAAAAAGAAAGCAAAGGAACAAAAAGCAGGAAGGCAGGTGCTTTTGTGTTTGTGTTTTCTATACCGTCCTAAATCAGTGGGAAAATATACATTTGTTCATACAGTGGATTCTACCTTTAATTTAAAGTTAATTTAAAGTTTTTGCCTCAAATATATAAATCTCTTTGTCAGTTAAAAGGTTGTGACCTACAGCTGTGTTATTGTAACATTTGATAAACAATGTGTTTTTCAGTAGATTCAATAGACCAAACATATTTATTAGTTAATGGCAAATTAGCTACTGCAGCACGGCTCTGTGCCATTGTAGTCGGAGTTCATGATGATTCAACTTTTTAAGGTCGTGGCAGAAAATAAGGCAACTCAAATTCCTCTTGTGTCATCTTTTTTTCTGCTTATATTATTTTAAAGGTTTTATAGTGTGCAGTATAACCAAGCCAACAGTTGACACTAGCTACCGCCAGCGGGTGTGAAATTTAAATTCAAGTTCAAGATTTTTATTTGACATTTATGCATAAACAGTCTAGGCTTATAGGAATTCATGTGCAGCTCTCCTTTGGAGTCAGGTAAGGAGTCAAAAGCCAGAAAGAACTTAGTCTTAAAATAAAAAAGTAACATAAAGGCAACAAAGCATTAAAACTGCAATACACAAAAATAGAGTAATAGTATTTCCCATAGTGAACTATGTCATTACGCTTGGTGGGGTAGTGGGGGGTTATTGCACATATATTCTCACATTTTCGTATTTGCCATCAGTCTTACTGCGGCAGGGAAAAAGCTGTTGTAAAGTCTTGTTCTGTGTGTGATGATACTGTCCGCCCTGCTGTGCCTAAGGCTGTAGGTGCAGTTTTTGTGTCTGAGCAGAGAGTGATGGATGATGAGGTTTTTCAGACAATGGGTTCAACTGATACAGTAGCTTACGGCACACTTCCTGGACTCTGACGTTTATGAACATCATATTTACAGACATACAAAGCAGTGAAACCTGTTTACAAAACCCACAAGGGACTGAGCTCTCAAAGATGCGGTATGTGACACACCCCGGTGCAGTAGGTGGCGGTATGCACCAAAGTACCCTGGTTTGCGAACCACGAGAGGAGATGAGAAGGGAAAAGGAGGAAGAAGAAACACATTTCCTGGATATTTTACCCTTAGACATTCATTGATGTTTAACTTTCAAAAGAAGGAACTTAATTGTAGTCTGAACGGATGGTACAATAACATTTGGTTTAATTTTAATAGTCATGTTGTAGCCTGCTAAAATAGCTATCTTTAGCTAAAGCTAGTGGCTAAGCTAACTGGACTGCTGTTATGGTCTACGTCAGCACAGAGAAGAAGACAGGTGTATGATTGAACGCTACTTCTCTGCGGTCGCGTCAAACCACAAGTGTCAACAAACTTTTGGAAAACTTTATGACGGACTCATCTGAAGTTAGATTGCTGCCGCTTCTAAGATGAGGAGACTGACCAAGAAGAAGACTCTGACTCTGGTGAAGGAATTGGACGCTTTCCCCAAAGTTCCTGAGAGCTATGTGGAGTCGACAGCCAGTGGAGGGACAGGTAGGCTACAGATACTAAGTAACTTATAACAAAGACAACTGTAGCATTTGGTTGTATAACGCTATACAGTCAGTTAAATTCCAGCCCGGTTGATTAACTTAATTTTACACTGACTCGCTGTGGTACTACTGTCTGCAGTGTCTCTCATAGCATTTACTCTCATGGCTGTCCTTGCCTTCCTGGAGTTCTTTGTGTACAGAAACACATGGATGAGGTACGAGTATGAGGTGGACAGAGACTTCAGCAGGTAAGAGCTAAGGAAGTGCACTGATGCATGCAGGAATGTGATTAGTGTGCTTCAACCCTGTGTCTTAGGCTCGTGTGTTCCCTGACTGCATCTGCTCTTCATTTCCAGTAAACTGAGGATAAATGTTGACATTACAGTTGCCATGAGATGCCAGTGTGAGTACAGGAATGTAGACTTAATCCCAACAATAGAAAAAGCATTGATTCACATTTGAAATAGGTATTTTTATCTGTTTATAGACTGTGTGTGTATGTGTGTGTTTGTGTGTGTAAAAAGAACAGATATAGGTGCAGATGTCCTAGATCTGGCAGATACCATGGTCACATCTGATGGCTTGAACTATGATCCAGTGAGTACAAGTACCTGCAGTTAATTTACCGATTAATGAAGACTGAGGAGTGAAATGTTAAACATGTCAGTGGGAAAGTATTGATATTAAACTCAAATCCAATCTGGTTTAGTCTCTTATGTTACATTGGGAATGTGTCTTCATGTTTGTCTGACAGTTGTGTTTTTTCACATTTTAGGTCAACTTTGAACTCTCACCACAGCAAAGATTATGGCACATGTAAGATTCAAATCAAGATATAAGTGTAATGTGTTGGACACCACCTGAAGTATGTTGATGTTGTCACTACATTCATTGAGGACTTGTCTTTTAGTGGCAAATAGTAGTCTGTCATCTCTTCATCCAGTATTTACACATTAGCAGTCCTTTGGTAGTAGGGTTGCATCTAACACTTTCATTATCGATTCATTTCATGGTTATTTGTCTTAATCGATCTTTTTCTTTACAAAATAGTCAAAAATGACCACAGCCAAAGGGGATCTATCATGATAGCTTGGTTCTCTGACCAACTAAAATCCAGAGATTATTCACTATCAAATCCTGGCATTTGAGAAGCTGTAACCATAGAATGTTTGATTCACTGGTTATCAGCACTGTTAGCTAAAGTAAATGATACAACCTATATGAACTAGTAAACTCATTTGAACATTAAGATTTTACCTGATTTATTTGCTGAAACCCTCTTTTTTTGAAGATGTATTAAAGGCTTACATTTAAGATGCTGTGTTATTGAGTCAAGTTTGTTTTGTCTCATTCCAAGTCAGTGGTTGTTTTCTAAATGTCCCACCTCTCCCTGTCAGGACTCTTCTGCACATCCAGGAGCGACTGAGAGTGGAGCACTCTCTCCAGGATGTGCTCTTCAAGGCTGCAATAAAAGGAGTTCCTCCTGCTCAGCCTGCTCAAAGGTACAGAATCCTCAAAATAAGCTTTTTCCTGTTTGGAGCGGAGGTGATTGAATAATACGATAAACCATGCAATGTCTAACACAGTGAGGTAAAAGGTTTCCATCCACATTGTATTGTCAGTTTTCCTGTGGACAGTTCCACTTCCTTCAGTGCCTGTAGGATCCATGGACATCTGTATGTCAACAAGGTGGCAGGAAATTTCCACATTACAGTTGGCAAGTATGTATCTACATATCTATGAAACACCGTGTTGGTATAGATTCAACATTTGCATTTGTCCATAACATGAAAACTAGACTTGACCATATTATATCGTTCTTTTATTTTGAACCATTAATTCATAACCATTGCAGTGTTAGATGCACAGAGCAGGAACTGTTCTGAGGCTGACCTCTGACCTTTTCTTCCCAACACAGGTCCATCCCCCATCCCAGAGGCCACGCCCATCTGGCTGCACTAGTCAGCCATGACTGTGAGTTTTGTACCTCTTGCTTTTCACATACTGCATCTACTTTGTGTATGTTGTCATCCTTTGGCAATAAGGCATCAATATTCACATTGCCTATTAAAGATGTGTCTCCGGTGACACTTGAAATGTTAAAGATAACGGTTCTGATTTGTCATTATGTTGCAGCTTTTAATTTTTCTCATCGGATCGATCACCTGTCCTTTGGAGAAGTGATTCCTGGGATTATCGGCCTTCTGGATGGAACGGAGAAAGTCGCTGCTGATTGTATGTCTGTGTTGTCAGCCATAGTCCAGTTTTATCTTAATTTATGCTTTGGTATGCTTTTTTCCATTGGTTGATTTTTGATGATTCTCTCCAGCTAACCACATGTTTCAGTACTTCATTACCATCGTGCCAACCAAACTGAACACCTACAAAGTCTCTGCAGACACACATCAGTACTCGGTCACCGAGCAGGTAGAGTTAAAGTTTACACAAGCTTGTACATGTTTACAGTATGCTATGTTGTGTGTAGGTGAATATGATTGTATTCCTTGTATTCTTTTGTAGGACCGAATCATAAACCATGCTACAGGCAGCCATGGAGTCTCAGGGATCTTTATGAAATATGATATCAACTCACTGATGGTCAAAGTCACAGAGCAGCACATGCCTCTCTGGCAGTTTCTGGTCAGACTCTGTGGCATCATTGGAGGCATTTTCTCGACCACAGGTCCAGAACACACACACACACACACACTCTCATTTATGTGGGCCGGGAAAATTTGTGTATTTTCCTGGGGTCAGTGCGAGTTCTATCGTAAGTCCAAAATTAGCAAAGGAACAGACACCATGGAAAATTATTTCAGTGGCGCATTTCATAACTGACGTTTATTGTTTGGGATTAAAGTTATAAACGGGATGCATACTTTGACCCGTATGGAGGAATGGTGCTTGTTTTAATCCTGCACTGCTGACTTAGGTACGGATGCTCATGGATGTGAGGCAGCTGGTGACCAGCAAACTGCAGACAGTATTCAGACCCCTCTATATTTTTTCACACTTTGTTTTTGTAAAAAAAAACAAACTTAAATTTACACAAGTATTCAGGCCCTTAAATCAGTAGTTTGTAGGAACCCAATTACACCTCCTTGGTAAGTCTCCACAAGCTTTGTGCACCTGAATTTGAGCAGTTTATCTCATTCTTCCAGTTTGATCCTCTCAGGGTCTGCCAGATTTGCTGGGATGTGTCTGAACTGTGTCCCTCTATGGGTTTTTAAGTCTAGGCTTTGGCTGGGCCACTCAGACACAGACACTTGTCCTGAGTCATTCGGGTGTTGCCTTGGCTTTAGGTCATTGTCGTGCTGAATGGTGGACCACTGCCCCAGTCTCAGGTCATATGCACTCTGGAGGTGGTTTGCTTCTGTATTTGGCTGCTCAGTTCTGATAAGTCTCCCCGCATGGTGCTGCCACTAACCTGCTATGGCATAGGGATGGGATTAGAGTCATTTCCTCATGCTGTTCAGCAAACTCCAGCCAGGTTGTCGTGCACCTTTACCTCAGAGTGGCTTCCATCTAGCTACACTACCAAAAAGGTCTGACTGATGGGAGTGCTGCTGAGATCATTACCGTAGATTACCTACTGTACAGTAACTCTTGGAAGTCTGAAGTCCTAAAAGTTGATTTTCTTGCTGGCATGAACTGAAAACAGCTGCCTTAAAGGAGAAAATCAATCTTAAAATTTATTGGGTGCTTTGGAAAAGTAGTCAGTTGTACTGCAAAATGTACGGAGTATCTTGTTAATGAGCATGACCACTGTGAGGTACTGTGCACGCTTAGAAGACCCATTTGTTTAGCACTTAAAGTATGACTTAAGGACTTTACAGGTGCCTAACCTTGTCATGTAATCCAGGAGAAAGTTTAAAAAAAAAAACCTCCCTTTAAAAATCACCCTTTAAAAGCTGCCGGATTTCTCACATAAATATTACATTTGATGATTGTATCATCATGGGCTATCTCAAAGATGATGGAGATACTAGAAAACTCAAAGTTTAAATTAAAATAATTTTACTCGTGTGGGTAGACATCTGATCTTAAATGACACAGTTAAGCTGCTTGGGAAAAACACACAGATGTGCACTTTGACTCCACATCCTCTCCTACATCCAAACATCAGCTTGCACACACAATTTAATTTAAACCCTCAAGAACATCAGCATCTAACAGGTGGAAATTTGTCTCACGTGCAGGTATGCTTCATGCTATAGTTGGGTTCTTGGTTGACGTCTTTTGCTGTCGCTTCCAAATGGGAATCTACAAACATCTTAAGGTAAGCAAATACATGATTGTAAACCATCTAGACCAGGTATTCACTTTGAATTAAAACCTATTTGGAAGCTGACACCGGCAGTTTCACCCACTCTGTGTTTCCATATTTTCTTGTCTTTGTCAGGAGGCTCCTCTGAATGGGCAGAAAAACGACAAAGCCCTGGTTCCTACAGACAGTTGAACTCAGCCAACTGACAGTTCACCATGTCAGCCTAACCCACTAGACATGAGTGAGATGCTTGGGAAAATGTTTACAAATTTTATTATAGTGTTTCACTGCTTTGCTTAGAAATGTGTGAATATTTTTATAATTTTTTTTAAATGTATTGGATGGATTAAAGCTTAAGACGTGACTGTTCATTCTCACGTGAAGGACTAAATGTGATTCTACCACTAATTATGTGTCAGTTTCACTGGAAAGCTGAGCAGGACAGCAGGAA